GCGTTGGCGAAGATGAATCGGACGTTGTCCGGGGTTCGATTGAAATTTGGGGGAAGCTAGCAGAAGGCGGACGCTTCGGGACGAAAGCGGGGGTACATTTTCATAGCTTTTTCTGCATAGCCTGTATTAGCTGCGTAGTTAGTCAGGCTCTAAAACCGCTCGCGCGGGTTGCACGCAGGAAAAAGGTGTCACACATCAAAGGCAAAAGCAGGTTCGCTCAGCTGGTTAAACCCAAGCAAAGAAACAGGAGAGACAGGAGGTCCCCTCGGTTTCCGAGTAGCCGGACACATTTTCTCGCTGGCCGGTGGATAAGCTAGCATTAGGGGGACTTGATTACACATACGCATACCAGGTGAGGTGAGATCAGGCCTTTTCGGGTGTTTAGGTGGGGTTTCACCGCGGCCTGACTGTATGAGCAAGCAAATAATATGCCCAGCTACGACGCAAAGATGGCCGATGTGAAGTTCTTTCTAACTCCTTTTCTGGCGACCACGCCCATGACTGGTTTTGATATATATCCTGTTGATCGTTCGAGTATTCTCCACATCGCCATCTGCAAGTCCATCACTTGTCCCACTTGCACTCATCACTTCGCCTTTCAACCTGAAACTGAGTCTCCGTTCGTCAACAAATAGCGATCGTCTGATCGGGAAAACACACATACTTGTCAAAAGTCGGCCCGCGTGCTCCCGTCATAATAAAATCCAGATTCCCATAAGGTGAGATTCCCATCTCTGACCCTCTTGTTTGGTGGCACGACTTACTCATACTCTGAATATTGCTATGATATAGACTTCATTCACAAAGCTTCGCCTCCCTGGACTTGCATCACCCGTCAACTTCTTGAACTCGTCCGGATCACCTCATCCATACTTTCATCAGAAGAGGCAATATGACGATCGACTACAACAACGTCAACGTTCAGGCTGAATCGTCTTCCACCGCCGCACGTAGACAATCAATGTCGTCCAACATCGCAATGAAAGACTCTTCAGCACCAAGCAGCACTCCTGCTTCCCAGCAGCCCGAGAAGAAGGCGTCGGCGCGTAAAGACCCCTATTACGGTCACGAGGAAACGGCGCGAATGTCAAGTCGATTCATCAGGGCTACCTTCCAGTGTCCCGATGTTCCACCACCTACTACTCCAGCTACAGTTCAGCCAACGCTTGCGCACTTTATCGCTTACGCACTCTACCGAACTCGTCTGCCACATTTCGTCACCATCGTCGCGCTCGTCTACCTGCAGCGTCTCAAAGCTCGTTACCCTTCCGCCAAGGGCTCATCGGGACATCGCTTGTTCATTTCAGCCTTCATGATCGCCTCCAAGATGGTCTGCGATGATACCTACAGCAATCAGAGTTGGTGCATCGTTGGACAGAAGATGTTTGCATTGAAGGAGATGAACCAGATGGAGAGGGAGATGTGTGGTTACCTTGATTGGCAACTCGTATGTATTCTCAAGCCGTCCTTTGAAACCTGTGCTCGTGCTAACGCTTATATTCATTACAGAACGCATCTGCGGAAGAGGTCGAGGACTTTGAAGGCAAGATCTCAAAGGATCACTCCAATATGGCAGTTTTTGCACGAAGGCAAGCTGCCATCTCGGCTACCCAGCAAATTTCGGTGCCAGCTTCGCCGAGACCCCTGTCTCCTTCGTCCGACTCACGCAAAACCGCACCTATGCCGGCCAAACGACCAAAAGTTGTCGGTCGAATGGAATCAACAGCATCTGCTATCCCGGTCATTTCTGCTGACAGCAATGTCGCCCCTGCATCGTCATCATCGTTTGCACCGCCACAGCGGGTTGCCTCGGTACCATCATTATCAACCTTTGCACCCAACATCGATGTACCTCGAAAGAGCTCCAACGCCTCGAGTCTTGCAAGCCGTGCATTTCAAGCGACAACGAATGTAGGCTCAATGCTAACTGCCTCTCGTCCAGCAACACGCCGCTCGTCATCAAACGTCGGCTCGTCTGGAACCAGAAAGACACCATTTTCGACGGGGTTTGAACACATGTCAAGACACCAGACTCGACGAGCAGGCCTTTCTGGCGGCTCAAATCCGGCCGACGACATGGTCAGATCGTTACACCTCGCTTCAACGCTACAAAATGCCATGTCATCGGATGATGAGTTGACATCTTCAACGCATTCCAGCCCGGATTCACAACTCTGTCAAACACCGGAAACCACAATGGTACATCCAATAGATGCCGCTAGCCGCAATGCTAAACCAGGCAGACGCTGCTCGACTACCGCCCAGCTTGAAACCGAATACGGGCCTTACTCCGTTTACGGGTGCAGCGACATACCCATTGAAGTTTGATCTGCTTTCATCAACTATAATCATTCGCATCGACATCAGCACAGTCTCCGATATGCTTCTTCCGCCATCATTTCAGCATCGCATCAGCACAGCCGCACAAGCACGGCAATATTCATCAACACCTCTCAGCTTCATTCGCTCCCACTCTTGGGGAGGTCGCATCACTTTCTGCTTTTGTATCTACCAAGTTATATTTTTAATGCCGCACTCGGTCAAGGAAACGTTGTAAGGATTATGGACTATGCATCAATGAATTGGAATTATATCAGAATCCATCTGCGCGTTGTGCCCTACCAGTAATTCAGCTCACCGATCCCTGATGCCTTTACCCCAAAATGCAAGTGACTTCTCAGCGCTGAGCTGTTCTAAGAATGGCTGTGCGCCGCTATGCGTTACCTTGGATAGCTCCCTTCAAATGACACTAAACTACGAACACCGCTCGTAGTCTACACTCAGCCGCGTCTCACGTCTGCGCAAGTGACAAGCGCTACTTCTAGCCAGCTGCCTTGGACACACGAGTCTCCGAATCATCCGACGGCTTCCCCGACGCCGACACGAGGGTCAACAAAAACTCACAACACCTACAACCTAAAACATGCGACCAACACCAGCTAGGGCCCTGAATCTCCTATTTGGTCTTCCGGTGCACCGGCTGTACGGTAATAGCTGCTGGATGGGAGCCCTCCATAATAATAGCTTCTAGGATATCACACTCCCGGGCCGCTATCGGCGGTCGCTCCGGTTCACAGAGCTGTTGCGATTCTCGTTGGTGTGCACGTCAATGGGCTAGTGGTGGAAATGCGAGCTATCTGACTGTATGCGGAGTGCACTAGAGCAGTTACTGGAGCCAGCTTGACCAGCTGCTTGACCGCGTGCTGCAGCTCCGTATTATAGCTCGACTGCTGCAGATCACAGCTCCACGCCGACTCCGTCGCAACATTACAGTGTGATGCCGTACGACGTTCATGTCTGTTCACTCCTCCGCTTTGAGACGACGGTTATGGGTTGAAGAGCTCGTTGAGCTTAGCGGAAGCCCAGAGACAAAAGACGTAATGTGAACTTCTCGATGTCGATAGAGCTGTCGATAGTTGTGGCACAGTGAGAGGACGGATTACTAGGCTTCATCCAGATGCGTAATTACGAAACGAATGACGAGAGAAATATACACGTATCAGGGAAGACATTTTATGCAACAGGGCAGTGGCGGAGGGCCCTTCTCTCGTTAGCTTTTTCGTTCCCCCGCCACCGGACACCAGGGCCTGAGTGGCTGCAAGAGTGCCTTACAGAGTTACCATCTGAAGTGTTTGGTTGAGCCAGGGGCTCTTGCGGGGAGCCTGTTGTTAGGAGTGTCGGGACGGGTAGGGGAAAGTGTTACCAGAAGGCTGACGAGGTGGTGGACACAGCGTATGGACATATCAGGGGATTTAGTTCCGTGACCCTTGCTCAGCTCTCTATTCGGTCCGACAAACGTCAATGGCAGAAATAGCTGACGGATGCATCCTTCGCGCGATATCGGATGGTCAAGTATCGATCTGCAAGACTTCGCCGTGGTTTTCTGGGTGTGTACTTCTACTGGCTAATTGCATGATGCGCAGCATGCTTTCGTTGAGAGTCTGGACATATATGCTGGAGGATTCCTGGAGGCTTCTGGCATTATTTATTTACTTTCTGATCCCGCAAAGCCTAGATTTGGCGGGCCTGAGATCTAATCTGGGGATCTAATCACAACTAGTACGAAGACAGCCATTTGCTTCCAGGTCTACTTCCCGTTTTGGCAAGCTATTTGGCATCCTTGACGTCTGGCATCCGCTATGTTGTTGGCAAATGAGATTTATTCGATGCGTCGTCGCAGCTGTCGTTGTAAGCGGGTTCTGTGCTCTTGCGTTTGGGCTCGTTAGGACTAGAACGATGAGACAACTGTTGCGACGAGACTGTCGAATCATCGCGACCCTTCGCGACCGATCCTGCGGAACGACCTTTTTCACCTCACCTCACTGTATGATGTTGCCTGATGTTGCTGGATTATCAATCCCACTGGTGCATGGAGCAAAGGGGTTAAGTAACCGGTTATCAGAGCTGCAGCTCCATTTTTGCGGTAAGCGTATGTGCACCATCACCTCTGCTCCGCAATGTCGTCGGCGTCATGAGAAGCAGTGTGAACGGAGGTGTGTTCGCTAGGTCGACAACCTCCGACGGTTCGATAACAAAACAAAACAGCTAGTGAGACAGCGAGCTAGACAGCGAAAGTTGTGAATTGGACAGCCGGAGAAGTTGATATGCCATTACCGGTCGCCGAAAGACAGTCGCGGGCGTCGGGCGCTGTTGCGGGATGCTGTCGCCGCCGTTGTCCACGTGCTTCCATCCAATCAAGCCTTCCCCGTCCCCCGTCCGAGCTGTCATGCATATCTGACGTAAATAGCTCGTTGACAAAGCTATTGACAATGGCTAGCTGATAACGGAGTGAGAGCAGGAGAGCAGCTGCAAGAGCTTCGGGCTGGCACCTTGCCCGGTAAGAAAAAGGTGCGGATTGTCACACAAATTACGATGGGCGGCATGGATCAAGGGGTGGAAGGGGTGTGCCGCGCAGCTTGAAGTAGGCGGATCAGATCAGCTATCAGATCCCCGTTTCAAATTCAGATTATATACTATAGACTGCTGAGCCGAATATACAAGTCTGCTTAGCTCAGTGGGAGAGCGACGGTCTGAAGTGTAGTGTTCAATAAGCACTATGGTGAGGATACCGCAGGTCTCCTGTTCGATCCAGGAAGTGGACAGCTTATTTTTTGCATTGCTCCTTCATCCCGTCTAATTGTCCCGCATGACCCCTGACAATAGGAAATCAGCTAAGGTCGGGTGTTCAATCCACCCAGCGGACAAGTCTTTTTGCATGATTTCTGACTGACAGAACATGTTCCCCTTGTGCTGTTTGACCTCGTCACCAAATTTTACAACCTGAGGAGCTTTTGGAGCCGAGTTATCGATGATTTTGCAAACTCCACAGTCGAGGTTGTGACATTTTAGAATGCTATCACCCGCCGCGCTGATCCGCGTCATCCCGCTTCTTTGGCTTCTCGGCTAGCGCGAGATCATCAAAGATCACCGATATACGGTACGAAGATAGGGGACTCCAGGACTCGAAGCCGTTACAGGCATGCAGCTCATATAGTAGCTATCACCCGACTTTTTGGATTCGCCTGGCCGTCGCTCCTGATACTCCACGAGACTGTTTGCAACGACGCATCATTGGAGACAGGGTCATCAGCATCGCAATGGAATACAGCAGCACAAGCCATTTCGTTAGTGACTTCCCAGCCAGCTGAACTTCTCGCTGCCGAATCCGTCAAGCAATCTTCTCAACATAGGAGCTGACAATAGCTCTCTTTCCCTCCGGCATCACTAGACCCACGTCGTTAAGACTGCGGAAGAGCAAAAATTTGGGCTTTCGCAGCTGCCTTGAGCGGCGACCAGTGTCAATCAGTCAACCTCCACCGTTTCACCTTGATCTTCCAGCATCCGAAAACCGCGACGAGACGGTTGATCTCCTGTCAATGGCACTGCTCTTGGCAAAATGGTACAATGTCCTCTCAGGCGAGACCATCAGCAGCAATTCAACTTTGCAAACACTGGGAATTTAGCGATGTTCTTCAGACGCCTTGTACAGGAATCGAACAGGAGGCAAGCAGATATCGCAAGCGGGTGCGATTGGTTTGCCTCCAAATGGGACACTAGGCATGATGTTAGTCGAAGGAATGTCCAAACGTCATCATTGTGCAAATCAACGAATGGTAAGTGTCGCTGCTTTCTGGTCTGCCTCATCTATAAAGCTTGAAGTTTCTGGACCATTCTGATCTTCCTCTCCTGCAGCTCTACAGCTGATGGCAGATCGTTCGATACTTGGAACCTAGCCATCGGAACACCAGCGATGGACTACGACCTCACGGATCAAGTGCTTACTGATCTAAATGAGCGACTCGGTGGTATAGGTTTAGGTCCAGAGGAAGGCTTAGAAGACGAGTACGACTTTAACAACAATTCGACGTCGATGACCGATATTACGACAACATCCACGCCGAGGACGATACCATCTACGACCCATTCTCCAATGATGATACTAAGTACCGATTCGACATCCATTCAGCTGCAATGGGCAATATGGACGGGAAGCAGCTGCAGTTTTACGAAGTAAGCCTTGCCGGCGGTTCTCCTTTTTCTCATGCCGATGATTTCTTGCTATAGGGTTTGTCTTATCCGACTGATGTCGGAGGATCGTGCATCAGATTCGATCAGGCTCGCATGAAATTTGTCTTGTTCATCAAGGCGTTACCGAAAAACCAGAGACCCGAGCCACACCATCCAGGAATTTTCCCGTATGCACAGGCGCCGCCGCACGTTGTAAACATCCGGGCAGAGGTCGAGCTCACGGATATCCAGTCAAAGGGAATCGGATGTGTTCGGGACAGTAACGTGACGATTTTACGGGTGAACTCGAGCCGCAACACGCCGCCTCGCGCAACGTATGGTCCGATGACACTCACCACCCGCAGAGTAATTTTCACCATGTCCCTGCGACGACCTCCTCGATTTCAAGTCCCCATTGAGGGCATCCGAGATGTCCAATGTTTGCTCGATTATGGAGAAAGAAAGCAGATCACTCATCGTCAAGCCACTAGCCGAGACTTTGTTGACGTTGTCAAGAAGACGGACGAGGCTACAGCTGGTCCTGCTTCCATCTGGGCGGAACAGGACACTTTCAAGGTGTGTATCGTCCAATTCTAGAACTGTTCAATCAGTGGATCTCATGAGTCCACTCCTGCGTCCCAGGTCGGACAATACCTCGCATTCCGATTCGAAATGTATCTGACGGATGCCAAATTTCGGATTCTGGAATCGCTGCTGCAAAAGCTCCGAATGTACTCGGCCGACGCCAACGGTCGGCTACCTGGGGCACTACCGCAACACTTGATGAATCCGGGAGCAAGCGGAGCTCTGACGCAAGGACTCGACGTGATAACGCACCGGTCCGAGGCTGTTCAACGACGATATATTCATTCAATCCCTATGCCGACGGCAGCGCAAGTCCATACGAGGGCGATTGGAAGTACTGCGACAAACGGCTGGCAGCCTTCCGCCTGGCAGCCTTTGGAAGGGATGACGTTCTCCATCCGATGGTTGATCGAAGGTCTCATCAGCCACGACATCATCCTTCCATTTGAGGCGACCCAGCTAGTCAAGGCTCTCGAGGCAGCTTTCCCCACAAGGGTGAGCGGACAAAAGAACACGTATGAGCAAAAGATATGGCAGTCACTTCAAGAACGTGTCCTCTGCTCCATCTACAACGAAGAGCGTATCAAGGATATTGACGCATATGTGCGAAGTGAGTATCGCTCCCGTATTTTGACGCGCATGGTAATGATTCTTTCCGTTGTTACGGCTATAGAGAAAGCCAAGTACATCAGACAGGCAAAGAGAACGCAAGAACCCGCTCATACAATCCTCATTCGGAGGGTTGCGATTACTCCGACAAGAATTCTCCTTTTCCCGCCTGAAAGAGAAACGAGCAATAGCGTACTTCGTCAGTACGCGGATCATGACAGCTTTCTAAGGGTGACGTTTGCCGATGTAAACGATCGTCTTAGGGTGCGTCGGTCTGGTTATATGCAAAGCTTTGAGTGTATGCTTACCTCGAAATTGTCATAGGTGGACCTCGCAGCAAGACGTTCGGACGGGATCAACAGCGCTTCTGGTTTACTCGGCAGAATCCGTCGAGTACTGATTCACGGGTTGGATCTAGCTGGACGTCACTTTAACTTTCTAGCGAGCAGCGCCAGCCAGATGCGCGAACACAGTTGTTGGTTTGTGTCTAGTATCGATCCTCGCTTTATATACGACTGGATGGGCGTCATCAACGAAACTATCGTGGCCAAGTACGCTTCGCGAATGGGTATTCCGTTCAGCACTACTCGCGAAGTCGGCGGGCTCCCGCTCGTGCGACTTATGCGGGCGGACGACACCAAGGTCGGCAAATACACATTCACCGATGGAGCTGGACGTTGTTCGCCGGGGGTAGCCGTTGCGGCGGCCAGGGTTTTGGGATTCAAAGGTACAAGCATCCAAGCGCGCCCCTCGGCCATCCAGGTCCGCATAGGTGGTGCAAAGGGGATTCTGGTAGTCTCAGACACTCTCCTCGACTTGAAATACCAACTGCGAGAATCGATGATCAAGTTTGAAACCAGCCGAACGGAATTCTGCGCCATACGGGTACGTAGTTGGTAAGCACACCGCTGTGTCGAGACTGACTATTGCATTCCAGACGGCCTTGTTCAGCAAAGCCACCTTGAATCGTCAATATGTCGCCCTCTTCTCCGCGCACAGCATACCGGATAGCACCTTTGCCGACATGTTCGAGCGCGAAGTCAAGGATATTCGAGCATTGCCCCTTCGATTCAGAGCGAACACTTATGACCGCAAACGGGATATCAAACTTGTCGGATCGATGTCATCTGTAGGTGCCCTAGCTCATGGTCTGCTAAACTTGGCTTACGAAAAGTCGCTGTAGTTCCCCATCAAATCACTCGTCTCTGTCGGATTCGGAAAGGATCCGTGCATTCAAGAGGCTCTGCGAGTCATGGAAGTGAGGATACTGCATGATCTGAAGTGGAGAAACCGGTTACCTATTTCGCAGGGCGTGTTCTTGATGGGTAAGCTCGTTCGTTGCTCGCGCTGCTGCATCCGCTAATCGTACTACACCACTTAGGTGTACCTGATGAGTATGGCGTGTTGAATGAAGGAGAAATCTTTTGCCAGTGGCAAGACCCCGAAGACCGGCTTGATAATCCCCAAGTGGTGCAAGGCCCCGTCGTGGTATGTCGTGCCCCTGCTATGCACATGGGAGACATCCGCCGCGTCATTGCTGTCGATCATCCTCGTTTGCGACATCTCGTCAACGTGATCGTCTTCAACGTCAAAGGAAGCAGGGATCTACCAAACATGCTAGGTGGAGGGGACCTAGACGGCGATGACTACACCCTGATTTGGGACAAGAGGTTTCTGATCAAGGAAAACTCACCGCCGATGGACTACACGCCACCGGAGCCCGTCCGAGTCCGCCAAGTGACAACGGTACATATCCGCGAAAACTTTGTCAACTATCTCAAGAACGACATGCTCGGTCAGATCGCGAATGCCCATCTCGCCTGGACCGATATTGAGGATCCATCAGCTTACGAGTGCACGGAACTCGCCCGCCTGCACAGCGTTGCGGTCGACTTTGCCAAGACAGGTGTGCCGGCTGACATGCCGGACGACTTGCGACCGAAAAGGTGGCCCGACTTTATGGACAAGGCGCCAAAGTACACCTACAGAAGTGAAAAAATTCTCGGTCAGCTGTTCAGGATTGTCGATCCGGAACCGACCTTCAAGGAAACGAGGCAAGAAGATATTACAAAGAGCCTTGATAGAACGCTCTGCGACGTCTCGGTCCCATCGGAGTTGCTCGAACTTGTCGCCCAAACCAAGGTCGCGTATGACGTTGAGATTTGGTGTCTCTTGCTCCGCTATCGTCTCGCTGAAGCCGAAGCATTCTGCGGTATCGTCCTTCGCAATGACAAACGCCACAAACCAAAGGATCACGACCTGAAGGAACCTGTCACGCAGGCATTCAGCCTGATTGAGGAGGAAGCACGGCAGGAGATCATGAACGAGTATGCGGTGCTCTACGACCCCGACAGCACATTCGACGTGCCTGGTGTTGGTAAGAAACTATCTTTTCGAAACA